CCCTACATGATACACAGGTAATAAAAATGAAACTTGCCATAAAACTCCAAAGGGGATTCAGAATCCTAGAACCTCAGAGCCCAAAGGAACCTTAGTCTAACTACTCTGAACTTTTCAACTGAATAAACCAAAGCACAGAAACAGATCAGGGGTAAGACCATGGCCAGATAAGAAAGAAACTAAAAAGTATTTTAAAAATAAAATTGAATACCAAAAATATATCACTATGTCAAATATTTAAATAAAGTAATCCAGAGTATAATTTCCCCAAATAGTGAAAATTCTCAATGTTAGCTTCAGTATCTCTTGTATAACACTTTCAAAATACAGATGAGCTTCCCCACTACCCCTGGTACTGCATTAGTAGGACTAAGGTGGAACCAGGACATGTGTATTTTGAGAAGTTCTAGGGGTTATTCTAAGGAACACCTAAGGTTGACAACGACTGAGATGAAGGACAATATTGCTAGGTTCTATGCTCCTAATCCATGTCATTACCGTCCATGGGTATCCATTTAAGTGAATTATTTCATCAAAGAACATTCAGACCTTTTTTTTTTTTAAATAAGAAAATTTTGCTAAAATCATTCTGAAAAGATTAACATTTTCTGTTTCAACAAAATATGTAAAAGAATGTACTAATCATAAAAATTAAAGTTCCCACATGCTCCTTCTGTGGGGACGATGAGTAGCAGCCAAGGAAAGATTTTTATCCATTTATAGATATGAAGGCTCGCAACAAACATTACACATACCAAACTGAAACAGGATCAGTAAAACAGGTGTTAAACATGAAATTACAGAATACAGGTAGGTAAGCGCCCTCTAACAATACAATGATTTTAACTTAGCATGTTTCTAGTTTAGTTTTATAGAGCCAAATTATTCCAAAGAGGACAACTGCCTGTAGAAGTTGTGGACAGGGCTTTCTTTTCACTTTGCATTAATAGCTCTAAGTTATAAACAAAGTCTACACTATAATCAGGTATGTAGTAAGCCATACGTTCAAATAGCACCTTCCACTAAGCATCTACTGTGTCTATACCCAGCAATGTTACAAGTGCTATAAGGAACTTAGAAGAATACGTCAACTCCAGTTGTTAGCAACTTAACATACGTGAGAGAATAAGAATTAAAAGGTAGCACAAAATAAAGTATTTGCATATAGACAGATCTCATAGACACAAACACAGGTTTACATGATACACAGCTGCTTCTATCTGAGGGTGCAAAATGGCTATATGCAAACACTTCTCATAACTGTAAAAGAGAGGTCTATACTGCATGTCCTCACTCATGAGAGAGAGAGAAAGTGAGAAAGAGAGATAGAGAGAGAGGAAAAAAACAAATGAATAAACAATCATGATAACATTGAACTTTCAGAAGGAGAGAGCAGAACTGTGGTTACTAGAGGTGGGAAAGAGGGAGTGGAGTTAGCAAGAAATTGGTTAATGAGCACAAGGAATGATTATGTACTGTAATGATGAACATGCTAATTATCCTGATTTGATAATACATTGTACACAGGTATTGATATTCAACTCTGTACCCCACAAATATGTATAATCAATTATGTTTCAATTAAAAATTTTTTAAAAAAAGAGAAAGGGGCTAGTTTCTGCCCATCTTAAGGGGCAGATCGAGATAAGAAAGTTAATAAATTCTTATGGTCATCCTGCTGGTAACTCCGTTAGACTTTTTTTTTTAAATCAATTTTATTGAGATCTATTTACATTTAATAAAAAGCACCTATGTTAACTGTGCAGTTTACTGAGCTGTGAAAAATGTATACACCTGAGTAATCGCCATCGCAATCAACAAATAGAACACTTACATCACTGCAAAAAATCTCCTCATGCCCCTTAACAGGCAATCTTGTCACTACAGCTTAGTTTCGTCCTAGAATTTCATTTGAATAGAATCACATAGTATATTATAGTCTTTTCTGTTTGTTTTTTTCACACAACATAATGCTTTTGAGATTCACCCATGTTGCTGCATGTATTGGTAGCTCATTTCTTTTTAGTGCCATGTAGTATTCCACTGCACAGATATAATTTATTCATTCAACATGCAGATGGACATTTGAATTCTGATTTTTGGTTATTATAAATAAGACTGTTATGAGCACTTACGTACAAGTCTTTATGCGGACATATGTTTTTATTTCTCTTGGGTACATGCCTAATAGAGTACTGCCAAATTATTTACCAAAATAGTTATATCATTTTTGTACTCCTGTCAGCAAAGCATGAGGGCTCAAATTGCTCCAAATACTTGTCAACACTTGGAACTGGCAGTATTTTTAATTTTAGTCATTGCTGGAAAGAAAAAGTAGAAACCACTGCTTTAAGAATGCTAATCAGAGGCATCTCGGTACATAAGCATTTGCATACTACTTAAGAAGTTAATCCTATCCCTATCCTAATTCTATCCCAAGACACCGGAATGAACTGTAGAGATTGTTTTTCTCCTTACAAAATTACAGCTAAATAACCCAG